GGCATAGATTAGTGGCTGCTAGGGGTTGTTACAAGGGGGCAACTACTTAATGGGAGGAGGGCTTTATTTTAAGGACAGTGATTTTCAACTGGTGTGCCGTAAAAATTTTTAAAGATTATTTAATTAATTTTGAAAATATATATATTTTTGTATAGTAAGTATATTTTTTAACTTCTTTTTGATCAACATAATTTTTTTCTCTTTTTTTATTAAGTGATAGCTGTATACATTAATGCAAACATGGGGTACAGTGTAGTGTTTTCATATGCAATTTGAAATACTTTCATCAAGCTGGTTAACATAGATTTCATGTCATTTGCTTAGTCATTGTGTCAAAACATTTATATTCTAGTTCTAGAAAGGTCCACTTATACCCTTGTTTGACAGATATATAGGTGATCTTTCCAGTAACCCTCCCACCACCCGGCCACCCTTCTCCCCTTCCTTTCCCCACCCCCTCCCCATATTCTTGGGCTAGAATTAAGTTGTAGCTTTCATTTGAGAGCTATAAATTAGTTTCATAAAAGGGCTGTGTACATTGGATACTTTTTCTTCCATTCCTGTGATACTTTGCTAAGAAGAACATTTTCCAGTTCCATCCATGTAAACATGAAGGAGGTATGATCAACATAATTTAAGTATGCTGCAGAAGTTTAACAATAGGTTCAAGTGTGCTGTGAAATGAAAAAGGTTGAAAAACTCTTTTAGGATGATGAAGATGTTTTGAACTAGATAGAGATAATGGTTGCACACACTTGTGAATGTACTAAATGCCATCGATTTGTATACTTTAAAATGGTTAAAATAGTAAATTTTATGTTAAACAAATTTCATCTCAAAAACAAACCAAAACAACATCAGTGGCCTATATACTTTCCTAATTGAGGTAGATTTTAAGAAATCAGGCAAAATCTTCAAGTGAGTGGATTAGCTCTCTCAGGAAGCAAACACCATAAATCAGTGGTTCTCAACCTGTGGGTTGAGACCCCTTTGGAACACTGAAAATACATCCTGCATATCAGATATTTACATTATGATTCATAACAGTAGCAAAATTATAGTTATGAAGTAGTAATGAAAATAATTTTATGGTTGGGGGCCTCCACAACATCAGGAACTGTATTAAAGGGTGGTGGCATCAGGAGGCATTAGGAAGGTTGAGAACCACTGCAAATAGACAATCTGCAATGTCTGTGCCTCTGAAGTCTCTGACTCTTGGTAGGGCAGGGAGTAAGTGGTTTCTTAGAGTTTGATTGGAGTAGTACATACAATCGGGTCCCTATGATTAAGGGCAAAGAAACTAGATTCCAGAATTGGAAACTTTTGCTCTTTGTAAGGTCAGAGATTAACTGAGAAAGTGATTGCTAAGAGAATTTTTTTTTTTTTTTTGAGACAGAGCCTCAAGCTGTGGCCCTGGGTAGAGTGCTATGGCATCGCAGCTCACAGCAACCTTCAACACCTGGGCTCAAGCGATTCCATTTTCTTAAAGTCCTAGGTGGAGGCTCAGGATATTTAATTTGAGTATAAACAGAAGGATGATCCCAGAGGGTAGATGTTTGAAGACTGAGCAGGCAGGTGACAAGTAACATTTCTGTAGCCTGGGAGGGGAGACTGGGACTGCCCCATGTCGAGCAGCAAAGGTCCCGAGGATGCCCTAACTCGATGCTCTCCCCACTTGCAAATAGACAGGGAGGGTTGTGATGCTGTTAAGAGACATTGAAAATAGTTCTCTCTCCTGAAAATTTGGCCTGTATAATTAATCGTTTTTGTTGTTAATATTTGCCTCCCTTGCTGGACTCTAAATCTATAAGGGTAGGGACCATGCCTGTTATAATGTTTTCCCCACCATATATTCAGCACTACTCTCAAAACACCTCTGTTGACTGACAACAGGCAAAGCCCCGTGGAGAGAGGTGAAGGCTGACAGCCACACTGCCAAATGTGGTGGAGTGAGGTGGAGTTTGGGAGCAAACCTTGGCAACCTGGAACCATGAGGGCAAGAATAGGCTCACTCAGTACTTTGGGAAAAGGACTGTCATCCAAAGAGACTTCCTGGAAGTGATGATACCTGAGCTGAGTCTCAGGGATGACCAAGGGCTAGTGAGTTGGAGACTGGACATGCAGTCCTGCAGAACAAGCAGTGTAAGCAGGGCCAGAGGCAGGTAGGTGCCTGGGACTGCAGAGCAACTGTTAGGGTCGGTGGTGTGAGGCTTGTGACCTGGTGAGTGGTGTGACCTTGTTGGGATTCCATCCTGAAGGCCATGAGAGGCACCTGGGGGAACGGGAGACATAATTAGGTCTGTGTTACTGTAGAACCCACTGTGGCTGCTGTCTGAAGGATGGATGTGAGAATAAATAAAAGTATAAAGCTGCAGAAATAGTCTTAGAGAAGGAAGATCAAGGAGGAGAGGATTGTCGTGTTGAACTAACAAGGATCATGTGCATGAAAAAGAGGGGAAAGATTTGAGAGCATTTTTGGTAGGTAGATTTGTTGGGATTTGGTGGGTGACTGCTGGCTATTTGGAATGAGATAAAAAGAGGAGTCTAGGATTTTAATAACGATGATGATGATGGTGATGGTAATGCTTATAGCTAACCCTTGTTGAGCGCTGATATTTCAGGAACTGCGCCAAGTACATCACACTCCCCATGTCACATGTGCCTTCTCATGACCCACTGAAATAGGAACTATTTCTTTCCTGGTTATATAGATGAGCAAACAGAGACCCAGAGAAATTGTGACCTGGCTAAGCTGCAGATGCTCTGGACCATTCTGTGATCTCCTGCAGATACTTGCTCTGGAGGGATCCTGGTGAGGATGGACACTTGGGAGGCACTGGTCTACTACACACAGTAGTTGAAGTTATGGAGTGAAAGAGAGTCTAGGAGACAGCATGAGAGTGAGGAGAGAAAAAAGTCAGGAATGGGACCAGGGGACACCAAAGACCATTTTGGAAATGGCCATCAGGAAGTCACTGGGAACCTTGGTCAGGATGGGCCTAACTAAGGTAAGGGAAGAAACTAGGGTAAGAGGAGAGGCAAAATCTGCTAGGCTAAGGAATTCGGCTATAGGTGGGATCAGGGGGTCAGAGGACTATTTTTCCTTTAATCATTAAGTGGAGAGAGATTTGCAGACGTTACAGGCTGGAGAGATGGAACCAGAGGAAAGGATGAGTTTGATAATGAATGGGAGAGCAAGAAGCAATGGAGGAACGCCTCTGAGGCAGGAGGGGGAGGTGAGTGCATCACCCTTCAAAAGGAACAGGAAGACTTCCTTTGAGTCCAGACTACAGTACAGGTTTGAACCCACCTTGAACAGGACACAAGGACTTTAGAAAAGTGAGGTTTGACCAAGGGCTCCAGCTATGGAATCTAACGTCACACTTTGCACCGAGGCACCCTTTCCACAGGATGCTTAAAGCTAATGAGAAAGTGTGGCATGGATATAATTTCCAGGGAACCCATTAGAAGTGGCACTTCTCTCGTGTTTGACCTCAGCTCAGTGACTCCCTGACAGCCTTGCTTAATTGCGCAAGCCTTGGAAACTCTCACCTAACCTTCCCTCCCTTTCTCCTTCACTGAGAGTCAGAATACACATCTGTTGGTCCTCCCAGCTTTTTCTAGCTCCGGTTCATTTTTTTGAAAAGAATTTCTCTTTTGAGATAAAATCCTTGCATTTTTAGTCCTGTTGGCATCTGTGTTGTGGAGGACTCAGGCCAGCATAGCCATCCATAGGCCTAAGTGGGTAAAAAAAGAAAGGTTGAGTAGGCAAATTCAGACCCCTTACGAAGGTAGGCCTGGGCATGCACTTAGTTTTTATACTAACTGTGAAGGGAAGCCATTGGAGGGTTTCTGGCTCGGGTACTACTTGATCTGGTTTGCATCACAGAAGGATCATTTTAGCCACTGTAGGATGTAAGAATGGAAACAACAGATCAGTTAGGAGGCTAGTGCAGTTATCCAGAAAAGAAAAGATATGGCTTGGAGTAGGGTGGGGATAGTAGGGGCGCTGGTAGATGAGAATGTTTCCCTCTGATGACTTTTCTCCCGTTGAAATGTGAAGCAAGGGTGTCAACTGAGACAGGGCCCGGAGGGGAGAGGGGACAATTTCTTTTTTTGCAGTTTTTTGGCCAGGGCTGGGATTGAACCTGCCATGTCTGGCATATGGGGCCAGTGCCCTATTCCTTTGAGCCCTAGGCACTGCCCTAAGCCCTACACTTTTAAGAAGTGTTAAATCTTTTACCATATTCTACTTTGAGCACTGGTTATCTTTGGGGCAAGTGTGGCAATCCTAACACTTTGGGAGCCTGAGATTAGGGGATGGCTTGAGGCCAGGGGCTCAAGACCAGCATTGGCAACATAGTGAGATGCCATCTTTACAAAACATAAAAAGTAGCTACTGGGGAAGCTGAGGCAGGAGGAGGACTGTTTGAGCCCAAGAGTTCAAGCTGCAGTGAGCTATGACAGCGAATCTGCCTCAGGGTAAAAAAGTCTTTCATAGCATTGTATTTTTAAAAATCACCGTATTTTGCATTTTCCTTGATAAAAGAACAGTACCCAACTCCTCCTCCCAGTGTAGTAACCACTTCATTTCTTTTTGAATTCATTAATTTCTGCAATTTGTGTTTTTCTCTAGATTTTGTTTTTGCTTTGTTGCCCAGGGTGGAGTGTACAGTACCATCATAGCTCACTGTAACCTCAAACTCCTGGGCTCCAGTAATCCTCCCACCTTAGCATTCCAAGTAGCTGGGACTTCAGGTGTATTGCCACCATGTCTGATCTGCGATTCCTGTTTTGCTGTGGCAGTAGTTACTGACACTATTCTCACGTCTACCAGACCCCTCCTCTGGGTTTCAGCTCTGTCACATTCAGTGTGTGGTGTGTGTGTGTGTGTGTGTGTGTGTGTGCATGTGCACATATTCATGTGCTTGTACAAAAGGCAGTCCATATGAAACCTTTTTTTTTTTTTTACAAATTTTTGCCTTTTATCATAAACAAAAGGTGCATCATATATTTTTATTAAATCATAAAAAACATTTGTATACAAATTTTTCCTCTTTGGGGAAACTGGAATACTAAACAGTTGGGTAACAGTTTAAAGACTTAGCTTGCTTTAAACAGAGACAAGTTTTAAGTTATCACATTTATTAAAAGAAAAAAAAAGTTGAAGTAACTGGTAATAGGTTATTGGCTTTTTTTACCTTAAGACCAGAGGAATAATATCTCTTGTAATCTTTAGTTATCTTTAAGGATTTTTTTTTTATTACTTACATCAATAACTTTAAAAGATGGTGAACTTGAACTTGGAATACAAAATCAATTTCTTTATACCTATGCAGGCTTGTAGGATATTGTAAATGCCGAATTTTAGAAAATGGTCTAGTTCTATGGGGCTGATAACACTTTGGGCCTTCCTACAATGGCAACTGTGTATAACAGCATGGAATATAGTTCAGAATAAGTTAAATATTATGAAATACAGTATGGCAATAATATCCTACTTTTCTTCCTACCACGTAAACTTGAAAGTTCATCTTAATCTTACATATTTTATAAAAGGTTGAAGAGGGATCCAGTGATACTGAAAATACACAGCCATCATCAAAACCATCTTCTCTAAATGCTTTGGGGGAATATATACAAGTGGTCCTGCCAGATTCATGCTTGCATTTATTTCACAGGGGATCATAACAAATAGACTTCGAAGCTAACCAAATGAAAAAAAATGGTGTTTCTGAAGTTTTAAGTCATCACTTCTCCTTCTAAGCAGAGATCTAGAGGGTGACACTGTAATGTGTCTATACATTTGATGTGTCACACCAAATACACACAAAAGCACAAATTAAATATTATCAAAATCAGTTTAAATTAAATTGAAAATCACTATTTTTAAGTGCATGAGATATTTCCCCCCTACCTTCCTGAATGTGTTACCACACATGCATTAGCATGGAACATGTTAGAGGCCAACCCACTTCCTCTGAGAACTCCCCGGAGTAACATATGAGACCTCTGACCAGAGGTGGAGAGGGAGACAATTATCCACTCCAAATGAAAGGATGGTTATCAAAAAGTCATTTCCCTAAATTCAAGCCTGAATTTCAGACTCTTTAAAGGAACAGAAAATGCAGTCTTTGGGATTGGTAGTTTTCCTGTGGTGAGTCTTCTTCCCTAGGGAAGTATCCTCCCCAACACCCTTAATATTGCAAGCCTCAGCAGAAGCTGCTGCCAGGTCCTGCCTATGCCCAATTGATCTGCTCTCTCAGGGAACATGTAAACAAATCCTTGACAATCTGCATTTCTGCAAGTGTTCCTTATGTCAGTGAAAGACCTCTTGGGCTAAGAAAACTAATAACAGAAATGGCTGCCTAAATGTCAACTTTCCACAAGGCTTGTCTTTTTGCCCATCCTGCTGTAGAAAACCATAAAGTCAATTCAAACACTTTTTGCCTAGTTTGCCTCAAACAGTATTAGTTAGAAACATTTCTTTGGACTACTTTATTCCTGAATCATGACAAAGGCTTAGTGGAGCATATTTGGTCTGCCCTCTTATTACTGGAGGTGACCTGGAGATGTCAGGCTTTTGTGCAGGTTGGGATTCTGGCTATGTCTGTTTCGACTGCGGACAGATGAAAACATAGTGTTGCAGCCTGGTACTTTGCATTTGTGGAGCTGGCGGAGGTGCACAGTTTTGTAGTGGGCCCTAAAGGTCCCTTTATTACTGTATGTCTTTTGGCAGAGGTGACAGGTTATGGGCAACCCAGAAGGCAGGCTAGCAAGGCTCTGGTCGGCCTTCTCCATCAGGACACTGATGGGGTACTCATCTTCCCCAGGGACAAGGCTTGGCCCTTCACAGTTCCCATCACTGTCCTCCATAAGCATGGTGCCTTCTTCACTCGCCCCATCAGAGTCCCAAGAGGAATGGGTACTGCTCTCTGACTTCATGCTGGAGGTAGTACTCAAATCCAGGATGGTTCCCTCGCTCAAGGGGCCAGAGTTGTAGCTCTCCAGGCTGGCACTGTGGACTTGGGTTATTGGGTAAACCAGGTTGCCCATTCGACTGGTTCCCTTGAAGATGACAGATGTCTGGGAAGCTTGCTGTGTGAAGGCCACATCCTGATAGGTCTCCTTATCCACGTCTTTCAGAAGGTAAGCTGCGTGGTAATTGTCTTCACTGCTCTCCAGTGTTTCTTGGTTCAACACTTTTTGGTGAAGGTTTAGGTTTGAACTGTGTCTGTAAGAGTGAAGAGATGGTTAGCAATGGGTTGGGCTATTGTTTTAGAAAGAATCATCACTCTGAATGGAGAGACTTAGTAGATACTAGGAAAAACTTCTGGCATGGGAGAAATGATTAGGGATTAAGTTCCTGTGGGATATAACACATGTATAGTGGACACTGGCCCACTGCTGAGCACTGCTTGTCAGAAGTTATCAATCATTCACTAGGAAAGCCAACAGTCTACAAACTAGGAATATGTAGTTCTCTTTAATTTCTACTATCTGATTGACATGTAACTTCCTATACCTCATCTACAGAGAATGGCTAGGTAACTTCAATTAGGCTAGTTTAACTGGGGCACTGGAACTAAAAAATCCTAGGTGAAAACTTGTAAGAAACTAAGCAGAGAACTTTATTTCAATGGAACCAGGAAATTACACCTTCTAGAGCTGCACTGTCCAGTATGATAGCCATTAGCCATGCATGCATATTGAGCACCTGAAACGTGGCTAGTGTCACATACTGAAATTGTAATATTTTGGATATATTGCACTACATGTTATTAAAGCTTATTTCACCTGTTTCTTTTTCCTTTTTTAATGTGGTTGTTAGAATATTTAAAATTTCCTATGTGGCATGTGTCCTATTTCTATTGGATGGCATTGGTCTAGAGAATTTGCACACACTTCACCTGACAAGTTCTACAAGTATGGGTGAAAAACTGATTAGCTAGAATTGTGTGTGTGTGTGTGTGTGAGAGAGAGAGAGAGAAAGAGAGAAGTTTAGGTCATCTATGCAGTGTTTCACTATACTATATCAGACATGAGTTTTGCAAATGCAGCAGTATAAGCATACTACCAATCTTCTACCCAATGATTATTCCTGAAGGGCAGGTAATGAGTATCCATTATGACACATGCCTTTTACTCATATGTTATCATTTGGCTGTACCTAGTAAATCTATGTTCTTGCTCAGGGATTCCATGCTGACTTCTGACCAGCAAAAATAGCCCTTACTAAGGGATACAATCTTAAAGGTGACAGGAGAATGATTCCAAACAGAGAAAATATCTTCTTCAATACAGATCAGAATGTATGCCAGGGTCAAGTTGGGAAAAGCAGGCTTACTTTTCAAATTCAAATAACTGAGAATTGAATTTTCTCTTCTAAAGCCCCAAATATGTATATGTGTATGTATGTGCATATCTGTGTGAGGCTCTATCACATTTGATTAAAGGTATAAAATTTACTATTCAAACTCTCTCTTCTATCTCCTTATGTATTTTTTCTGGACATAATCAGAATTATACTCCCAGATAACCCAGTCTGCAAGTAGTTCTTCTTAACTGCAACTCTGCCCTGTGATTATGTCAGCATTCTGGGTGGAAAGCTCTGGTATGTGTCGGCAGAAAACCAGACACTAGATTGACATATAGGTCCCAGTATATACAAGTAGTTTTTTTTTTTAAATAAGTCGAACACATTTACTGGAACCTTGTACAGAAAGGTTTCTGCTACAACAAATCAAATCTCTGGGCCTCATACCTAAGAAGGAACATGTAGACACCTCTCAAGTCTTGGAAGGTTAGATGCATTTTGCAAGGTGCCACATCCCCTAAGACTAGTAATTACTACAACTGCACCCCCCCCCCCCCGGCCCCCATATCAGGTGTCAGGCTTTCTGCTTCACTTTGCTAATCCTGTGCTCACCATCCATGTCTGTGTCTCTTCCCTTCAATCTCTACCTCCCCCTCCTACTCTGCCTCTTCGCTTCTGACAATTTTGATTAGTTGAGGCCAGTAGTTCTCAAAGTGTGTTCTCAGTACTCCAATGGTTCCTGAGACCTTTTCAGGATGCTTCTAAAGTCAACATTTCATAGTGATACTAAGATATTGTTTACATTTTTCAGTCTCATTCTTTCACAAGTGTATAGTAGAGTTTTCTAGGGGCTACATGACGTAGATTATTGTAAAAGATTTGTTGTAGAAGCAGATATGAGAATCTAGTTATTTTCCACTAAGCAGACATTACAGAGATTTTCCAAAATGTAAAATAAAGCCATTCATCTCACTAAATTTTTATTTTGAAAAATGTAGTTATTTTTTCACAAAAATGCTATGGCAACATATGTATCATATGTTCACTATTAAGTGATATAATTTTTTCATTTTTAATTTCTAATATGACAAATACTGATAGATATAACCCAAACTAGAAAAGCTCTTGAGGGTCCTTAGACTTTAAGTATTTGTAAAGGGGTTATGAGACCAAAATGTTTGAGAGCTGATTTAGGAATACCTCTTCTTCCAGGGAGCCTTCCAATGTTCTCAGGGAGTCTGATTAGGGGCCTTCCTGTGTACTTTAACAGCCTACATTTCCCCTACTGCAGAAGCCATCACCATTCAGCTGTTTACTGATCTGTCTTCCCAACTACACTGAAAGCCTTTGTGGACAGGGACTGTGTTACCAGCACCTAACACAGAAAGTTCTTAATAAATACTTGTTGGTAAATAAGCATCCAGGGAGCTGTCCCAGTCTCAGTGGGTCTTAGTAAGTGCAGCTGGCAGTGGTAGTGGCTCAAAGAGGGGAAGCTGGCTGTCCCCACAGCAATGTGATTCTTATCTTTGTCTCAGAGAAATGGTTAGGGTCTGGGCCTGTTTATACAGGCCTATTTAAAATGGTGTCATTTTAATCATAGATTCTAGGTAAAATGTATTCCAAGTTCTAGATTACAGGAATTAGTCATTTAAAAAATTCAAGATGCTTTTCTATTGCAGTGGTAGTGGTGGGGATGTACAGATCTCCAAATAGGTTAGAATTTAAGAAAATATTAAATATATGAAAAATAAATATCAAATGAAAAATATCTTGATTCTAATATACCTTCTAATTTGGTAGGTATTATAGGCTAGAATAGTATCATAAATATCAAGGATAAATCTGACCAATAGGACCCTGTCTTCTTCATAACACTAGCTTACCTATAAATACACACTCTTCCACTTGAAGGATGAAGGAGAAGGACTGGTTCACTAATTAGGATACCCTGCTGGTTTGGTTCAACATTCTATAGCAACAGAAACAGGAATTCTAATGAACATCTCCTATGCTCTATCCTCTTTGCTAAAGATAATGAATATGTTCTTGCCAGCCCTGTCTAGGAATGTGAGTGGGAGTCTGTACATTTTCACCCTCTCAACAAATTAGGCATTACAATTTGGATTAAGTGCTGGTGTTAAATTGCTTTAAGTCAAACTTGTTCTAGCAAATGGAGCATTTTAATATACTGTGAACCATTCAGCATTCATCATATTGCATTTCATCAGACAGCTGATCCTTTCCCGAAGCCTCCTGGGGTCATCTTTTGGTCTATTCATTCTTTCCTAAATAGGGTAGAAAGGAGGGTGACCTGAAGAATGATTCAAGTTCATGAAGCATGAGCAAGATGCTAACACAGTGCTGTGCCCCCAGATGATGATATGTGCTCAGCAGGGGGGCACTTTGTAAACAGTTTGACTGTGTGTGTCATGAAAACTCAGGCTCTTTCAACCACATATAGCCTCTGAAACAATCTGCTAATTGCCTTTACTCTTTTGATAGCTTATTATTTTTAAAAATCTTCAATTAAACAGTTAATTTTTCATTTTTTTTCTTTTTTAGAAATAAGGTCTCCCTGTTGCCTAAACTGAAGTGACATGATCATAGCTCACTGTAACCTTGAAATCCTGGGTTCAAGTGACTCTCCCACCTCAGTCTGTGGAGTAGCTAGGACAAAAGGCATTCAACACTACATCTCACTAAAAAAAAGAAGAAACTATTTTTGGTAGAGACAAAATCTCACTATTGTTGCTCAAGTTGGTCTTAAACTCCTGGCCTTAAGCCTCCCCAAATGCTAGGATTGTAGGCATGAGCCACGGTGCCTGGCTAATTTGTTTTGAGTGTAACTGGCTAAACAGAAACCAAGGAAAGCGTTTCATTAGATAGACTTCATATTATGAAATGAAAATCAGAAAAGTTTTGGGAAGGCTGGGCACAGTGGCACATGCCTATAATCTTAGCACTCTGGGAGGCCAAGGAGGGTAGATTGCTTGAGCTCAGGGGTTCGAGACCACTCAGAGCAAAAGTGAGCTCTACTAAAAATAGAAAAAAAAAAAACCCACCTAGCCAGGCATTGTAGCAGGTACCTACAGTCCCAACTACTTGGGAAGCTGAGGCAAGAGGATCTCTTAAGCCCAAGAGTATGAGGTTGCTGTGAGCTATAATGCCATAGCACTCTACCCAGGGCAACAGATTGAGACTCTGTAAAAAAAAAAAAAAAAAAAAAAAGGAAAGAAAGAAAGAAAAATTTAGAAAAGTTATAGTGGTAATTTTAAAGAGCTCTCCCACCAATTATTTAAATTTATTTTCATTATTTAACTTCTACCAAAGATGCTAATGTGAGAACTATTTTATGATTCCTTAACCTATACCCCTGGGGCCAGATGTGTTCCTGAATTCAGAATTTCTGACTTCAGAGAAGCAGAATGATGCACATACTAAAATATTACATTAATGTCCTATAATAAATCCATTAATATTTCTGTATTATACATACATAAATAATTTATACCTTTGTGGTTTTAAAAACATAATAAATAACCTCACATAATTTTAGGTCAGACTTTGCTGGCAAAAGAGTTTTTAGATCTTTGGAAATGAAAATTCATCAACATGGAAATACGAAAATTCACAGGACAGTGTTTCTCAAACTAGTCCCCAGAATAGTAATATCAGCATCACCTGGGAACTTGTTAGAAATGCAGTTTCATGCCTCATCCCACACCTACTGAAGCAGAGATTCTAGGGTGAGAAGAAGTCTGTGGTTTAACAACCCTCTGGGTGGTTCTGATGCATGTTGAAGTTTAACAACCACTGCCTTAGAAAAAATGATTGCCAACAAATGTCTCACCTGTCTCTGCTCCTGCGGGAGGGGAAGGTGGCCCTGCAGCCCTCCACTGTGCACATGTGCATTTCTTTGGCATGTATGTTCTTGTGGTGCACTTTTACACTGCAGGAATTTTTAAAGGTCTTCTTGCAGATGTCGCACTGGAAGCGATTTTCTTCCTTCTGCCTTGCTAATGCATGCTGACCCATGTGCTCCAGTTCTTTAGCATCTTCCAGACAAGGAAAAGTCATTCCCCTGGTGGACAGAGCACTGAAGAGTCCCCCAGCTAGCAGGCGTTGCTGCAGTTCCATGTAGTCAGAGAAAGGAACTCGGGGCTCCATCCCGGGGGCAAAGTGATGTTCATGGCCGCCATCCTCAACCTCTCTAGGCACCATGATCAGTGCAGCCATCTGTTCAGTCTCTCTCTCTGAGCTGTGTGTGGTCTGTTCAGGGGTTCGGCTGATGGGTCCGCTGGACTCAGGCACTGAAGGGAGATAGCAGGGCCTTTCTGCTTCAGGGACAGGCTTCCCCAGGCTTCCTGACTGAGTGTGCTGCTCCTCAGATGCTTTGTCTGACTGAGGGCTGCAGGCCTCCAGCTCATCTTCGCTGACTACCTGAAGGGGCATGTCTTCATCTGAGCTGAGCCTGTGCCTCTTTTCAACTACTTCCATATCTCCTTTCTCTATTTTGATAGGCATACTAGACTTCCGGGATTTCTTCTTGGGAAGGACATCAAATGGCATTTCGTTTGAAACCAGCTGTTCTGGGATGGAAGAGCACAGCAGAGGGAGAGAAGGTAGCATCCCAGGCGTGTTTGCCAGCTCAGCAGGTGTCGCTGGACTGCGGTAGAAAGGAAGGACTGGTTGGACTGTCTTTAGGTTGGGAAAAAGCACACCATTCTGTACAATGTTTGGGAAGGCTGAATGACCTTTGGAATCCTCCCCTGAACCAGGGTAGCTGGGGAGAGGCCTGCAGTCTGGTGATGTCACCACAAAACCTGGGTGCTTGTAGTTCTCAGAGTTTGCCAGGTGCAGGCTGTTCCTGAGATCTTTGTCACGGTTATTTCTGTTCATGGGCATGTGCAGCCGAGGGTTGGGGTTGGCACTGTGGCGATTTCGGCTCCTCAGGGAGCTGAACACCATGTTGCACCCCTCGATGGTGCACTTGTGCTTGATCTTCAGGTGGACGGCGTTGTAGTGGATCTTGAGGGTACCTTTGTCATAGAAGGTCTTCTCACAAGCCGTGCAGAATACCCGGCCCTTTTTTGTGCCAAGGTTGTTCCTCTCAGGCTTCACTTTGGCCTCAGGGGATAATTGTGTCCTTTCAAACTTAGCAACAATGTTGTAAGAGCTGGACTCACTTAAATGGGTACTATCTTCATTTTTAGTAACAGCTTCTGGACAGTTTAAACATTGGCTTTTGTCAACCTGAAATGGTGTGGAATTAGAAGTTAAGAAGCTGCTATTGGGGAAGGGCCCGTGGATTTCCTGTTTGGAGTCCTGAGGTTGGTCCTGACCCTGCTCCAGCATATATTGACCAGGCAATGACCCTATCAGTGCAGGAGGCAGAGGGTTGAAGAACTGGAAAGGCAGCATGAAAGTCATATTGCTTATGAAGTTCTCAAAGGGGTGTAAACCGCTGGGGCTTCCTTTGTCCACAGGAGTGGGTAGGCTAGAGCTTCTGTGGCTGCAGCTCTCGATGAAAGCCCTGATATCTACATTTGCTGTGGAAGGTGGTATGATGATGGACTGCTCTTCTTTCTCTTGAATTGCCATGAGTTCAACTATGGACTTGGTCTCTCCAAAACGAAGGAACTGTTGCAAGGTGGCCACTTCCTCCTCACTGGTCATGATGCTCCAGTGATCCAATACCTTTCCTGAGGCATCCTAAACCCAAATCAGAATTTAGAAGTGTGATCAATTTACAACTCCTTGTCCTTTTCTCTAAGAAAGAAGCTATGTGGTCAGGGCCTCCAATAGACTACAGGATACCTTTGTACATATCAGAAAATGATACCCCACCATGGAGGAGCACAGAGTTTGGGGAGTTTAGCTCACCCTACTCTCCTGGGCCAGACACTTTGTGCAGAACTTAAATTGCACAAATGTAAGCAACAGTCCTTACAATAACAGTCCTAAACAATTTGTCCAAAAGAGCGAAATAAAATCATATGACTCAAGCTGAAGTCAAAGAAATTTGGTGATTATGTTTTTACCTTATTTCAAGCCAACTGTTTCTTGCCTTAGGCATAATTTTCGGCACTAAAATCATCACATGTATCCTTGGGACAATATTAACTTCTATATTTAAAGATTATAGATGGAACAGTGAGGCATAGCTAAAGCTCAAGTGTTCACTTGCTGCAGGTTTAATAATCTTCCTAAGCAACTAATACCAAAAAACAAATGGACCTGTACTGATCTACGCCCATGTTCACGAAGCAGAGCCATAATTACACTGGAGTGTTGGACATCTTTCAAACTCTAGTGAGGCCTAACTTTTCCCAAAACTACAATAAATATTTTATCACAGAACATGTATTTGATGGCCTACTGAGATTTTTCACAGTGCATGTAAGAGTTTTGAAGATGAGGAGGAACGTAACATCATAAATTTTTCATGCACTAGAGGTTCAAGGTAATTGATTCCATATTTTTAATCCTAACACTAGAGAGATTATTAGGATCATTAAATATTGATCTATGTCATAATGTAAGATCATAATGCTACTCTACATAAATGGTTGTTTCTAGCCTGCAAGTGGTCTTGCACTAAAGGTGAGTAAATGAGTTTCCAGCCAAAGATTCTGGGGCGTTCAGTTAGAAAGAAGTGGATTCAAATTCTGGGTCTGGTATATACTAGTGAACGACTTCCAGAAAAATTTTCAAGCAGCTCTGAGCCTCTGGGTTTGTTTACTGGAAAACGGGGATAATACATATACCTACTTCATGATAACTGGGAGAGGGTCTGGGTCAATAAAGGGTTGTTATTAGTGTTTGTTTCAATGATATGGCCTACCTGTGTGAGACTGAACTCTGTGTTGGTCTTGGAAATACATCCATTCCCCCATTTCGGTGCATTTTTTACCAAAGCTAGGTGAAATTTACTAGTGTAGTGGCAAGACATAAATGCTGTAGCTGTTTCATATCTCAAAGGAACAATAACTTCACCTCAGGAAACATGTTCTTTGCTTGTAAAAACACCTTGATGGCCTCTTTAGATATGAAACATGAAGCCTAGCCCAAAGCCTGGTGTGGGAAGAGAGGTAAATACTCTGAAAAATAAAGAGGAGAGAAGGAAAGAAGGACGTAGAGCACTGGAGAATGTAAGAGAAAATGTGAGGTGACCAAAAGAGAATTAAGGGGATAAGAGAAAGAATGAGCAAGTGCATGAATGCAGAACATCATGAGAAACAAAGCTACAGAGGAAAGCCAGCAGTGGGATGGTGGTGGGCATTGTGTGAAACTGTAAATTGTTTGCCGTGTGGTTCTGTACAGCAAGCTCCCCTTTTAATCTCCAAACTCTCAGTAAAATCTCATACAGACGACTTTTGTCAATAGGCAGTTTGGGGCAAAAACTAAAAGAAATGGAGGCAACACTCAAGATGGGACAAATGGTTGTTTGCAGTGGAAGACAGACTTAATGAGAGCCAAATCAGAGCGTATGTATCATGTCCATGTCCTAAGTGTTACAGATATCTTGGGGAAAGCACTGGATTTCCCCCAAGACATGAGGCAGGGCCTAAAGCTGTTAGAAAAAAACACTGAAGGGAAGGATAACCACTAAAGCCTGGGGGTTCCATCAGTTACAAGGGCACAAATTTCAGAAAACACTTTGGGAGAACAGTAGCAATATACCCGTACCTGAAGCACATATCCACGGATATAATCCTGGAGGGTCCAGTCCAAGGCATGCAGGATCTGGAGAACCTCATCTTGCTTCAAGACACTGAAGAGTCGGTCCAGGAGGATTTTTAGTCGAACAGGAATGGCCTGGGTCCCATAAAGCATGAGGCTGCTGATATCAAACACCACATTGGACTGGACAATCTCTACCTGGCTTGTTGAATACACAGGGGGGATCCTCAGCTTACTTAGAGCTGAAAAATCAAATTGAAGAAGTATCATTTTGGGAAGTTCTACTTTTAGGGGAAAACCTACAGAGAAAGTAGGATAGGGCTAATTCTCAGTTATCTGTTCCAACAGAAAAAAAACGAATATGCAAATAATTAACAACCTTAATAACTATCAGACTTCAAGTTATTCATAGGAACTTCCAAAGTGAAATTGATGAGAAAAGCCTGAGACTCTTCTTTCTTGTGGCTTCCTAAAGAGTGAAATAGTCACAAACAGGGAAAGGACAAGGACCAGGGAAAAACAAAGGTGGCAGGTGTGTAATTGAGGGGATGGGTAATGAGGAGGTAAAGAATCTGAGTTTGGGCATCAAGGGATCTGGGTTTGAACCTTAGGCTGCCACTTTCTATTTGTGGGATTTAGCAAATTTAAATAGCCCAAAGCTAAGATGTCTGATGCAATAGTTGCCAGACATATATGACATTCCCATCACCACAAAATGATAGGGCTAAACAACTGTTTTCTACATCTTTAGAGTGGGTTAATAAGACGTTTACCAAATAGAGTTAAGATTCAAAGAAAAAAAAACATATAAAGCTCTTGGTCTGTTACCTGGCACATACTAATTAGTAACTTACTAGTTAGCTTACCAGATAGTTGTCATTCTTAGACATTAAATCAGTTCTGGATTAGCTATAAACTATTATATTTAGAACGAACATTACAGGCCAAGAGAGGGAAAAAAATAAAGTTACCATGAGCCACCCATCCATGTCTGCACTGCTCACACTGACGGTGGTTTATTTTCCCAGGTTTGAATCCTTGGCAACTACAGTCCAGAGTACAGCCAATAGCCTACAGAAGAGGAGAACACAGGTATACACAGCGCATCAGTGATGTGTGGATATATATTGCATTTAGCAAACACAGCCTATTTCTCCATTAAGCAGCATTTATTGAGCAATTCGCACTGATGCTGTGCCAGGCCCAGAGGTGTAGACTGTACCCTTGGAAGACAAGTAGCTGACATAGCACCTGGAGGCTGTAAACACATCACACAGATACTCTGCATTCGAGAATGGGCTAAAAACATCAGAACATTTTATAAGAAAAGGGTATGGGTTAGAACGAACTAACAGGATCAATAGACACATTTCATCTCATCTCTTAAGCTGACTAGAGCAGCAATCCTGAAAGGTACACAGAGGCTGCCTCAGAACAAGGTAAAGGGAGAACAACCTGAACCGAGAGGAATCCATAGATGGATCTGCCCCCTCCCCACCCTACCAAGACACAGTAGAGGCTGAATCTGGATTTGAGAATATGTGATGGCTAAATATACTGAGGAGGATTCCCTGACTCCACTCACGGGGCAGTGTGACTATTGGAGACAGATCCAGGCTGGACAAGCCCTGCACCGGTGCCTCAGGGCTATGTTTGGCATGCAGGTGTGCAGTGCATGACAATACAGCTAAAACAGTTATAGAGAGGTAGGTGTCCAACAAAGTTCTAACATTAAGAACAAACCTTCACATATGTTTTTAAATGAGTTTCTCAAAAAGAGATAAAGGACTAAAGAATATAAACTATTATAGGCTCAGCGCCCATAGCATAGTAGTTATGGCGCCAACCATGTATACCGAGGGTGGTGGGTTCAAATCCGGCCCAGGCCAGCTAAACAACAATGACAACTGCAACCAAAAAATAGCTGGGTATTGTGGTGGGCGCCTGTAGTCCCAGCCACTAGGGAGGCTGAGGCAAGAGAATTGCTTAAACTCAAGAGTTAGAGGTTGCTGTGAGCTGTGATGCCACTGCACTCTACTCAGGGCAGCATAGAGAGACTTTGTCTCAAAAAAAAAAAAAAGAATATAAACTATTATTGAAGAGAAAAAGCCTTCAAAGGAGCTCTGTCAGTGAGGTTTGTGAGAGGAGCCACTGAGTGAAATCTGTATGATTCAAGAGAGCCTTGAAACGAGGGAGTGTATGCAGCATTTGGAAGAGGGATGAAAAAGCCCAGAATTATGTGTTTGAACCTCTAATCTGCCAATTGAGAGGCTATGTGGACTTGCATGGGAGACAGGCCAGGGAGAATCTGGCTGAGGATGGGGGAAACTTTTTATGTATAACCCACAGATACACATTCATACATAAACAGATATATAGCATGATATTAAAATTTCACTGCAGAAACAAATCAAGAAAAAATTTCTAAAATCCCCTTAGATATGGGGGATAATAAAAATAAATAGAGAAACACTGTTCTAGTGTCAGAAAGTGTTTCACTTTTTGATTACAGAGTTTCTACTTTATATAAGTATATACAAATGTATTAAATACACATATATATCTATATAACTATCCCTATACAAATTATTATATAGTTATAGTTAAAGGATAAAAGCAAGTGATGGTTTAATTTATGTTACACACTTTCAAAACAAAAATTAAAAAAGGCACCATTAGCTTAGATTGTGGCATACCTATGCCGTGCAGCATCTCAAACTTGGCTGTGATTAGCTCACTTATGAGCCAGTCATTTGCATATTCTCAATAGCTACTAGCACACTCAGTTCTAAATCTCTGAAATTTTTTGCACTCTAGATTTTATAAATATAATTGTTTTCAAGAAAAGTTCTAATTTTGGATGATATCCCTTAAGACAGTGGTTCTCAACCTGTGGGTCACAACCCACAGGAACTGTATAAAAGGGCTGCAGTATTAGGAAGGTTGAGAACCACTGCCTTAGATGTCATTCACTCTTTAAAAATAAGATACTGGTTGGCTCCACGCCTGTAGCTCAGTGGAAAGGGCACCAGCCACATACACTGGAACTGGTGGGTTTGAATCTAGCCTGGGCCAACTACAACCAAAAAATAGCCAGGCGTTGTGGTGGGGGCCTGTAGTACCAGCTACTTGGGAGGCTGAGGCAAGAGAATTGCTTAAGCCCAAGAGTTGGAGGTTGCTGTGAGCTATGATGCCACAGCATTCTACCAAGGGCAACATAGTGAGATTCTGTCTCAAAAAAAAACAAAAAACAAAAAACCAAAAACAAAACCCAACAAGATGTTGGAACTATACAAGTAAACTTACATTTCATTTATTAGAAAAAATAAGACATGCTTTATCCAGAGATAGCGATGTCTTTGAACAAAGGCTTCCTCTACTCCTGAGAAATCTGCTCAAAAGGCTCACACTCTGGCAGAGGCCCTGGCAAATGTGGGTGACTCCAACTCCGGCTCATTACGCAAAACAGGGGCATACCTTGAAGCCTAAAACTGAAACTTATTTTCTGCACCTCTTGTCATCTGATTCAGGTTTTCTCAACTTTGACACACTATTGATATTTTGGTCTGGACAGTTCTTCATGGTGTGGGGCTACCCTGTGCATTGTATGATGTCTAATGAGTTCCTGAGCTCTACCACCCAGATGCCAGTTATACCCCATTCCAGACATTACCAGATGCCCTTGGGGTCTATACTACTCCTAGTTGAAACAACTGACCTAACCCAACCCATTCAAGTTTTAGCAGCTTTTAGTTTGGGAACAGAATTCTAACAATTTTATTGGTACTTCCAATGTTTGAATGCTTCTATATAAGAAACATTTGTGTGTTTCTACATGAACCCATTTGAATACAGCTTAATAAAGCTCATTAAACATCTATGGAAATAAATCTCAGAGGAATTATTTATGAATTAAAAAGGCTAATTACAATGTCTGAGAAAACTTCCAATATAAAGGCCTATGGGTTTTTCTACCTGTCTCAGAACTCCATGATATAGTAAAATTACAGCATCATTTTCTAAAGATAAATTAAAGCTTCTAAAATGAAATCAAACCAAAACATTCTAATTATAGGACAAAAAGTACTTGGGTAAATCAAAATGGAAAACTCTTTTAATTTGCATCCTTTCCTTTGGAGTCCTAATATTTCTTCCATTTTTTTTTTTTTAAAACATAACTCAGATGTTTACAACATTCTGAACTCATCAAGACATGATTATTGCTTTTTGTGCGCTCATCTTAATCAGTCTATTTCTGGAATTGTTATTAGTTATTTCGATGTGTTACAAATCAATATTCAAAAGTCTGGTTTGATTTTTTGTAGCTAACATTTCCTCATTCATTCATCCAAAATCTATTAACACCTAGTTTGTGACGGATGACTTGATTTTGCAGTTTTGGGATGGAAACTTCTGACCTAGTTTTTAGGTAGGCTGGGGGGAACTCGCTTCATTTTCCAGACACTCCTGCTCTAACTTTGGCATGGAGAGATGCTAGCTACCACACGCCTCTTATCAGGAGATGCTGAGTTGAATTCCTGGCAGCAGCTAGCCCAGGCACATGATGAACCAGATGTACACACATCCAGTGCTAGATAGTGTAGGTCTCTGATGGGATTTGAATTATTGAGCTCAAGAATAAAAGGAAGTGGTGGGTACAAACCTGGCCCTGGTTAAAAACTGCAAAAAAAAAAAAAAAAAAAAAAAAAAAAATTACAAACTATTCATTTCAAAGCTGTTTTCATTTCTAGTACATGCAGATACTTTTATATCATCACAGAGACATTCTTGGTGACTAGATGGAAAGGGGAGAAGGGAAAACAGACCTTTGGGGTTCCCAGATTCATAGCTCTTTGAGGAAGGTCATTTGTAACCTGGCATTGGCACAGTGTTGAATTATACAGGAACCAGCCAGCTCTGTAAGCTCAGATTACTTAGCCTGCTCTAACCGCATATAGCTATATTTAAATTAATTAAAATAAAAAACAATTTAAAACTCAGTTCCTTGGTCACACGGGCCACATTTCAAGAACAAAGTTGCCACATGTAGGTAATTAGACAGTGGAGATACAGAACATTTCCATCATCACAGACAGCTCTGTCCTAAGTTCAATGGTGAGACTAGGTACCCTTCCAGCATCTGCTCTCTGACAGGGCAATGTTCATGTTTAATAGGTGGTCTCATGTAATCCTCATTACATTGTTGCAAGAAAAGAATTATTCTCAAGAAACTTAAATTTATGGAAGATCTGTATTAATAATTTGCCTAAGATCACACAGTTGGTGAGCTTTATCGAGAATTTATGATGTGTGAGACACTGTTCTAAGCAGTGTGCATGTATTGTTTCATTTCTTTCTCACAACTACTCAGGGAGGTAGGTTATACTATTCTCAATTTATAGATGAAGAAGCTGAGGAATTTACAGGCTGTGAGGGTGGTCTCAAGTCTGGGTACTGGGAGTGAATTGTGTCTTTATTTTATTTTATTTTTGAGGCAGAGTCTCAAGCTGTTGCCCTGGTTAGAGTGCTGTGGTGTCATAGCTCACAGCAACCTCCAACTCTTGAACTCAAGTGATCCTCTTGCCTCAGTTTTTCAATTTTTAGTAGAGATGGGGGTCTTGCTTAAGGTGACCAGACGTCCCAATTTTTAACAATTTGTCCCATGTCCTGTGGCGTTTTTAAAAAGTCCCAATTTTTGGAAAGAATGCACAACAAGCCAGGGAATGGCGGGAAAACAGGAAGGGAATATATGGTTTTCGGCTGCCATGTGGCTATTTCGCCAGGATATGAGTTTTATATTATTTTTGTTAATTTTATAATGTTAAACTTTAATAATAACAAATAATTGTTGAGAAGTGATTATTGAGAACTGCTTATCAAAGTTTGCATTGTTGTCAGGCTCCCCACCCCCTACTTAACCAATGTTAAAATCTGGTCACCTTAGTCTTGCTCTTTTCCTCAGGCTGGTCTTGAACTCATGAACCCAAGTAATCTACCCACCTTGGCTCCCAGAGTGCTAGGATTACAGTGGATTGTGTATTTAAATAGCAAGATTTGGTGCTAACTATAGT